TTTCTGTATGTGTCATGTGTTAGACATTTCTGAATGTGTCATGTGTCAGACATTTCTGTATGTGTCATGTGTCATGTTTGAGCCCAGCTGTTGCTGGATCGATAACAACAACAACAACAACTATCTTCCCTGACTTTATTGGGCAATGTCAATTTTATACAAATGTGTTTCTCAATGCCCCAATACACGATTGGTTAATACTTAAGAAGTTGCAAGTTTCACATTGCATTCAATTTTGGTTAAAATTTTTAGTTCTTTGATAACCCGCATTAATTTCGTTTTTCTAGCACATTTTTTCATTCTGACCAGCAACAAAAGGTACACAATGAAATGTAATTCAAGTTTCTAATTTGTGTAAGATTGTTACAAATGTGTCACAACATTGCCTTTGGCGTACTGCTGATCGGACGTATTTGTCCACTACATCTTCAAAGAGTTAAAATTTAATATTTTTTGAACAAGTAGTTGATTTTCTTCTTGTTGACTAGTGTGACATCCCATTGGTTGAATTTCATTTGTTCAAATTTTGTTGAAATTGGAATAAAAATACTGAGATGTTGCCCTTAAAATGAGTCCCTTTTTTTAAAAGACATTTTGTATCTTTCCCATTTGGGAATCAAAGTCATCATTTGCATGCAAGGTGAAGAGTTTGACTGATACATTGAAAATGTTGACGGAAGCTTCCTTTTTACTCTTTGACTTTTTCTACATCCTTGGTACCTTGTCTTCCTATCTTGTTACCTCTCTTACTCTTGAGTAACACGAACTTGAACACAACAGGTGGCTGGAGGGTGCCACTGGTAAGTCCTACTTCTTTTCTTTCCTTTTTTGCTTTTCTAACTCTTTCCCCTCTCTGAATGGTCCTTACTGTGTCAGTATACTTCTCTTCGCTACAATTTGGGGGGAAAAGTTAATATATATTGATAACTACTTGGTACCATGCTGTACTTCAGTGTGGAAGATCGGAATTAAAAGTCTCCCCAAATGTGTTTTTTTTAATGGCATAAATCGTTGTGGGGGTGGGGG